AATAATAATAATAAAAGCTGCTGCACTTCCTCTTTGGAGTCATAGTCTTGCTGCCCATTAGGCTTGGAAGAGGGCACCTTCCAAAGAACTAAGACTCCCAGGAAGCACTGCAGCAATGTTCTCCCTTCTTTTTACAAATCAACAATAAGACACAAAGTGGTGGAAGACAATGAGACAGGTAAATAACTTGAAAGCCCTTGTCCACAGTTGGGGAGAAACTGATACATGAGCAGATTTGGGTTTGTAAGCTGTAGTTCACGGAAGACTTGTTACACTTACTGGTGCAAGAGTAAAATTGAAGGAAACACATTTCTTCCTAAAAATCCTAAATGTATAAGCAAGTTTCGACAAGTTTAAAAGGACTACGTCTAGGAAAATGTGTATAGGACTGAAGCTCAGGCATACATCCTAAGCAATGAAGTTCATCACTTAGGTTTTGGTGAGAAAAAATTATAACAGTTCTCAGCTTCCCTTGTGAAATGCCTTTTTCATTTATTTCAAGACAGATTTATGAATGAGAAAAAGCTGATCCTAGAGATCACTCTGCACAGAAATAGTTAATGAGAAATGGGAGACACAGTAATGAATGGCACAATTGAGAACTGCTATTGCTTGCCAATAATTTTGCATTTTCATAATCAATGATTTTGGTTTGCTTCAAATATTGCAGATTAGAAAAAGAAGAAAACTTAAGCAGGAGTTTTTAAAAAGGCTTATTGTGGAATATAATCTACTCCCCAAGCTGTAAAATAACATTGTTCACATTTTAATTGATAATGCCATTTATACAGAAATCCTATAATTTAAGGTCATGTCATATGTTCTACTGAATATAACATTTTGCTGTTGTTGTACTGTATAATCGCAGAACATCAATAACTTAAATGACACAGATATAAACCTTCCCTTCCCCAATTTTTCACAGTCATGATTAAGCCCCAGAGAACTTTTCAATTTTGCCCTCCCTCCTTAAAAACACTATTTGTATAATACAGAATGGAGCAGTTTTACTGCACATAGTGAAACACTTAAGCCCTTGTTATGTCTAACAGGATACAACATCAGCTCTGTGCCATGAATGACAGAACAGCACAGTTGAAGCTAAAATAAGGAAAACAAAATACTGTGGATTATACAGTATCAGAATAAAGTATGAAAGCTGACAACGTTTTGCATTAGCTGGAACAAAAACGATTCGGCTCCCCCGATCTGTATTCTGGACAACTCACATAATATGTGTTATGTGTGTAGTTATAGGCATGTATGATTTCTATTTAGAACAGCAGTTTTTAATTGGTTCTTCTAAACGGTTAAAACTATCAAACTGATACAATTGAGAATACTATGTTAACACAGTTATAACATCAAGTTTACATACTTGTTTCTTTGAAGTACTAGGAACGCTTACGTATTTTATTTGGCTTTGTAAGGACTGAAATCTTACAGATAATACAATCTACTTTTCCATGTAGAAAATATGGCTCTTTTCAGCTAATTCTCTGAGGCTCAGAGTTAGATTACTTTGTCCTTATATCTGCAGCTGACTGAAGAACCAGGTGTCTTTTTAAGTGATTGAGATGCTACAGTATATTTTTCTACAGATTCCATTTTTAAAGTAAGAATGATTCTCTCTGGACATTAGAGTTAATTTACTGCAGCACACTTACTTCATTCAGGCTTTCCCCTATTTAAAACTTCCAGTATGATGATGCTTTCTATTGTAGTATCTCCAAGTGACCAGAGGAGGGCACTTTAAACATCTTTGCATTGCTTGTGAAGCAAACGCAGAAGCACAGTGTTACCTAAAGTCACATAAAGTCCTGCAGAATGCTATTAAGGTTGCAAATATCTATTCTTTGAAGTTCATAAAAATATAAAATATGTTCCACACCCTAGGGGAGTTTCCCCCACTAAAGTTCCTATCTGAAACTAAAAACACTTCTCTAAAGATACTTAGATTTTTTAAAAAGAAAAATCTTTGCACCTTTCAGTCAAATTGCACTTAATGCTGTAACTTCAGAGATGTGCTGAGCTTAGGGTAGCTGCTATTTTCTTTTGCCTATGATGGCTCATGAGTTGTGTACTCCTGCAAACCACTGCAAACCATCTCTGCTTGGCTTATGTGGTAGGATTAAAAGAACCATAAGCCACAAGACCTCTCAGTGACTTGCTGGTAAGAAGCTGGAAACAAAAATGACCACAGGCAGAAGGAAAGGGACACTATCCATAAGCGCAACACTCCTACGTACCAGCTTTTCTTCCAAAGATCAGCCTTATCAGAACAGCTGCAGTTCACAAGATGGCTTTTGGAAGGATCCTGTTGGGTTGTATGAACAGGAAAATATTTTTATTCTGTATTCTTTCAGCTGCTTAGAGCGTTTGCTTGAGCTGGAGCTTCAAGGTTCTGAAACGGTCTTTGGACAAATGTTGCTGATGGTATTTTCCAGCTAAGCAAACTCCACCACAACCATACCTTAGGACATCCTGTGCCTTAGAAAACAGTATGCTAGTTGTGGCCTCGAGAAAGACAGAGATATCCAGATTTTGTCATCAGAATAATATAGAACCCGTACAGCACTCTTCTGATCCATCCTCTCCCTTGCTCTCCTTCATCATTAGCCCCAAACAAATGTAAGACTCATTGACTGGACATTAAACTGTTCTAACTGTTTGCTGTTTTACTCGAAAACTCAGACCAAATTTTCTCTGATATGCATCTTAAAAGTTATTTGGATCTCATATAAATTCTCTCATACCAGATCTTTAGCTTGTGCAAAACATCTTCTCACAGCATGGTATACAGTAGTACCATAACCAAAGCCAAGCCACCCTGTCAACAAAATCTCCTGAACCGATCACTTCAGTGGAGTTTCAGTGACTCTCTATAACAGGCACTCAAAATCAACCTTTTAACTTTCACATCTGGGCTTCTGCATGTACAAACCATTGAAGGGAAAAGCATTTAACTTTGCAAAACCACGGGTTGCATTTAGGGAGGGGGCCACAGTTTGGCAGAAGGTCAGATGTTTTAGATGCACAAGGTCCCAGGTTCTAATCCCCAGACTCTCCATCTTAAGAAACTTAGGCCGTAGGGCATTTGCCTGAGACCTTGGAGATCTGCTGCTAGTCAGAGTAGAAAATACGGGACTAGTTGCTCTGACGGTACAAGGCAGCTTCAAATGTCCAGACAACACAGACTGTGTTTCCTCTGCTTATATTTTGTTCAAGTTTTGCATTTTAAAAACAAAAGTTAGAAAGGATATATAAATAATTATTTTTAATAAAAGTCATCTATGCTCAGGGAAACAATAATTCTAATTTTTTTTTTATTTCTGCAAAATCATTATCTTCTTTTGCTGTTTTTTTTAAAATGTGTGTTTGTTTTAAGAGCAGATAGACGCAAGAAGGAAGATGTCTTACAGCAGCCATTTGAGATCATTCAGTGAGCCCTCACCATGACAGGATCATAAACTTACTGGTTTGAACAAACCTAGCTGTCTCTTAGCTGCTGAGTTTTAGTTGCACCATACATTTGTTTTTAAAAAAGTTTCCTTGTGCCGTTTTTTTTTTCTCCTTTGTGTTTGTTGTTTTGTAGATGACCTGAGCGGCGGCTTCCATCTTGGATTTTCTTGCTTTTACTCATCCTTCCGTGCTTTTCTGGTCTTTCCAATGTATGCTTCGAAAAAGAAGTGGCAGAAGAGCACAAAATAGCTGAGGTACATGAGGGAACTCCAGACAATGTTTGAAACGTGGGAATGGCACTGGCCTTGTTGCATCCAGGCAAAGACCAGGTAGTTGACGATGCAGCCCATGAACATCTGCGTGATCTGCGACAAAGTGATAAACATGGCAAACTTGCGCGAGACTCTGAATCCGGCAGCCCGCAAGGCATAGTACGTGTACATGACTGCATGCACTCCATAGTTCATGGTCATAAACCAGCCACCACCAGCTACCATGTCCTTGTAAGAGTACCAGGAATAAAGCAGCACAGTAATGTGGTGGTACCAGTGGAGGAAGATAAGCTTCTGCTTCCTAAGAATAATAAATATTGTATCTCCTAGGATGGGGAAAATGAGAAAAACAATATTAGAATGTAAACACACCAGTACATTACAAAACAAACAATATGATGCTTTATGATTACACTATGGTGTCATAAAGAGTGAAATATATACACACGCAAAATGTCTTTGACTCTCACTTATGATACAGATTGCTCTCTGAACAACTTACCCCTTGTGAAAAGTGTAAGTGTAAAAGAGATAATTCAGCCTCCTCGTGGGACTGAATCATCTCAGCTTTCAAACTGACAGGTGCTTAATTCAAACTGCCCTCCACATGTAAGCACATAACACAAATTTAAATGTATTTAACAGCATTCTAGCTGATTCCATGACACTCCATCTCTATGAATCCTATAAATCTAGTGTACTTTCGGAGTTTGTAAATTGTGATGTAAACAGAAATTTTAACATACACACACAAAAAATCTTTTACAGGGGCTTCATGCTATGCCAAAAGTGAAACTGTAATCTAAACAAGCAGTAAGGTCCCTGGCTTCATCAACAGTAACAGAAATCCTATGTCACATTTTCGTATGCAATTGCAAATTAATTCAACTATATATTGGTAAGTTTTCATGTTTAAATAGTAGGAAGTCAAAGACATTTGACACACAAAAAAAATCTGAAATCATATTCTTTCTTCCTGATTGGGTTGAACGTCAGAAATTCACGGAAAATAAAAAATGAGCTCTGTCATATCTCTGTTTCCTGCTTCCATTTAGAAGCACTTGAACAAGCCTGAGGATAAACAAACATATTCGTGCAGAGTGGCACCAAAACTGATGGGTTTGCTGTTTATACCTTTTCTAAAATTGGTTGGGAAGAAACTTTATAAAATACTTGAAGGAGGACATGGTTTATGCTGCAGTGAAAGTATATGCCTATTTTAGAGCTTAGTTATGTGAGTAATTTTTAGGGCTTGCTTCTATCTAAGTATTCAGACAATGTTGTCACAAACCAGAATTAGGGTTAGAAAAACCAACCTCCAGAAGAACCTAGTATTGCCATGTTTGCTTTCCTTTTCTGTGGGGTAAAGAAAAAGATTGCTAAGAATTCTCTCCTGCTTACATGAAAACAAGCATTATTTGGAGCAGCTATTTAGTTTGTCATTCGCCTGGGGCAAGCAATCATTATTTCCAGGTGAGTACCTTGCCAAACCTATAGAGCAAGTCACTCTGTGATAAGGGCTTATGTGTAGGCTGATATTTTTTTAAACAGAACTGAATTATGTTACCATTTACATGACATTTCACAGAAAGGGCAAGTACTAAAAATGGCATGAAATTCTGCTAAAACTCATGCAAGTACGCTTCATCAATTCCAATTAAATTTGCAGTGACCTCTAAGTAAACAGGTATAAGAGAGCCTTTTACCAAGTTGCAATGAAGGTAATCATCATCTTAGAAAGTAATCATCACCATCTTAGAATTGCAGAGCTGGAAGAAACCTTATGGATCATCAAGTCCAGCCCATGCCAGGGATTCCCAGTGGGAAATCAAACTCCCAACCTCTGGTTCCGCAGCCGGATGCCTAAACTGCTGAGCTATCCAGCAGTCCTAATGTAGCACAACACACATCCAGTCACTGGCAACTCATGGACTCTGGAATATTCTGGACATGGTGGAAACTCTACCACAGATACACGCCCAATCATAATTCTAAGGAGGCATGGGGGAAGACAAATGTTTTCCCTACCACTGGATAAGAATGTTCTAGACTATTTGCCACATGGTAATATTAACACCAAGGCATGTCATAAATTCATAAAAGAAAACCCGTCATATCTGAGGTTCAACAGTTATTTACCATTCTGAAATGAAACTGATGGAAAAGTTTTAGTGTCTACATTTATTCAGAACAGTTCTAAAACATTTTAAAATCACAAATATGGATCTGTCTCACATATCACAATTCTTACGTGTCATAATAAAAAACAAGAGTTTCGCAATCATAAGGAGCCGAGTAATTTGAATATGTTTTATAAATACATTCTATTTCCTGGACAATATGTTGATGTTTTATTTGTTTTGTTTGCTGTCAGGTAAGATTTAAACGAACTTATGCCTGACCCCTGACAAGACTGTGTTTGTTGGTTATGTGATTTCACTGGAATCCCTATAGAATAAGTAGCAATGTGCCATAGCTATGGGAGGTAGCTGTTGCAGCACCAAAGGGTTAAGCTGTTTTGGCTGTATTGACAATTCACTGGGTTAGTGAATAGTCTCTTGTTTTTGGTGATGAAACAAAACTTTCTAACACAAAGTTGTAACTGGAACATAGCAGAAGGAACAGCTAGAATATTTCCATGTCTGTATATAATCTAAATCAAAACTGCATAGGCTAAGTAAAATATTCTCTCAAGGGTATGGGTTGCCATCTTGCTTGTCAATGTTTTACCACCTACACAACTGAGAAATATCCTTTGAGACCACAAATGTAAGAAAGGTAGAGATGGTTGGCTGATTAATGTATTGATTGAAGGCAAAATGTAAAAAAGCATTTCTGATCACAAAGCAGAAATCCTTTTTGCAACCTTACTCTGTTTTTTGTTTCAGATGCACCACATGAATTTTAAAAAAAGAAAGAGAAACGGGTGGGGGAAAGAGAGAGAGAGAGAGAGAGAGAGAGAGAGAGAGAGAGAGAGAGAGAGAGAGAGAGAGAGAGGCACTCACCTAGTTCTGGTGCTTTGCTTAGCACAAATGCATAAGCCCAAAATTTGCTGACAGGTCCATTGTAAAAACTCTGGTCGCAAACTGACTGCTTCAGACCTTTGGTCATCAAAATGTACACCATATAAGCACCCGTTCGAACAGCACCAAATATACTTCAAGAAGAGAAAATATAAAAAAGGAGTGAAGTACCATCAGAAAAAATAAAAAAAGCAAAATTCACAGAAGGTTATTAGCAAAGATAGTCAGGATTTTAAAATTTTTTTGGCCTTTTCCGATTCTATTTTAAACTTCGGCTTAGAGAAGCAATTGTTTTCAAGAAAATTAACGCTACAGACAGATGCAAGAATCTTGTACATTTTAATACCCATCTCAAGAAAGGAAAATCTCTTATTGTTTATTAGTAAAGGAAGAAGAAAATGCACTCTTCAGTTTTGTGTTTAAAGCTGGCCATTTAGTACTGAAGTAGACAGTATGGTGTGAGTACTATGGTATATATGAAGTAACCTGTAAGTAGTGAAGAGTTCATATTTGGTGGAACAGCTATTTGCCTCCTAGCACAGTGTGGGAATAAGAAGGCCTCTTGTAGCTATTAAGATGACTTAGTTGATTTCTATAAGGCATATCCCTAAATAAGTGCCACATGAAGTAAACAAAATGGTGTTCCTTGATAGCAAATTATGTCTCTCCTTCATGGAACCCAAAAACCACATTAGAACATTAGAGAATTTGTAGAAATTTGACATGCAAGGCCTGGCTTCAAAACCTTGCTTCACCACAACACTCCCTTCCTCAGATCACTGATTCACATGACTGATTTGGGATTTTGGCTTGGTCTACCCATACTCTCAACATGTAGTAGTTATGAGACCAAAAAACAAGATTGCCTTTCTCTTCCTTTTATGGGAACACTGGAATGAAAATGAATTAGTCAATAAACTAAACAACTATGGATACAAGAGGTAAGACTTGCTGCTACACAGATGATTCCAGCTTTATAAACATTCACTTGGTAATAAGTTCCACTGAACTCAATTGACCTCACTTCTGAGTATATAATGGCTGGAATCCTCTTGCTTAATATCGCAAGTCACACTAGAATAGGCCCATTGAATCAGTGAGAATTTGGTGAGTCAACATATATTCCATTTATTCAATAAACTCAGGAAAAAACCCTCCCTAGTTTGCAAAAATCTGAAAATACACAATGGAGTAAGAACTCCATAATATGCCTTTTTAAATGCTCAAAAAGAATCCTACCATGAGACTGTAGGTATTCTTAATACCCCATCTGAGGACCCTGGAATAGCCGTCCAGAGTAGACTTTGGTCTAGATGGGCAGGGTATGCATGCATGCATGCATAAATAAATAAATAAATATAAATAAATAAATAAATATAAATAAATAAATAAATATAAATAAATAAATAAATATAAATAAATAAATAAATGCATCTCTTAGATTCCAAAAGCAAGTGCTTTTTAAATAAATGGGCCTAAGATTGCTTCAGAGTTATAAAGTTAGGTTTCCTTTCTTGTACTCCGCAATAATAAACACAGAGACATCTTGGGTGGTCAATTTTATGGGATACATATCTGTCAGTGGCCCACCGGACCACTCTAGGCGGCTACATATCTGTCAATCTGAAATGTTATCTAGAATTTCTTGAATATTTCACAGGGATGAGAAGAAGCTTATTTGTTTCTTGGGTAGAAAGGGTACTCAAGAGTTTTATTCTGAACTGCTGCCAAAACAGAGCAGATAAATACTTGCAGACTTATGCTAGAAATCCTGTGTAAGCACTTCTAATATCCAGGAGTTGTCAAAATTGATGTGTTCATAAGGGACACCAATGGAATTAAGCATGATCAGGCTACAGTAAACTACTTTGCAGCATAGCAAATCTGTATAAGATCCTTAATAACTTTTAAAACTGATTAAAATTAAACTTAGGGAGGGCACTTCATTTGAACATTGAGAGATTTTTGTGCGTGCTTTCTTTTACATCTGCTTCCTTCTTCATCCCAGAGGCTGAGCTGAAAACCACCATTATTTTAAAAGAACATGTGCCAAAAATTGACAATATCCCACACAATTTCATTTAGCCTTCAGGTAGACTGAGGTAGAAATCCTTATTTTTAATCAGTGGTCCTTTCTGGGGTGGGGGCTTCATCCCATTATTGTGGGATGAGATGCCCCTGTTTGGATCACGGGCAGTCAGTACTTATATCTCTTCTGTTTTGGATAACTAAAAATGTATACAGAATGGCTTCAAAACAAGATGGAAAGAAAGGAGTGTCTCTGTGAAGCCTCCAACTGTTTAGCTGCTGGAAATAGTGCCCTTGCCTCAGACCTTCAATGGTGTATGGAATTACTGGATTGGAGCATTCTGTTCAGCTCAGAAAAACTGCTCCATGTATGTGGTATAATAAAGGGATGCAAGGCTAGCAACTGCCTCTGACAGCAGATGGTGGATACATCTCTGACAATTGAAGTTTGTCTCTTACATGACCTTTCCTGCACCTCCTTAACTAGCCTGCTGCCCCTTGGTGATCAGGAGGACACTGCCCCATCACCAGTGTTTAATAAAACTCAACTACCAGTCCAGTTTACTTCTAGATAAAGAAGGGTGGGTTGGGGGGGATCTTGTATGACTTTGCAAATGTTCCCAGCTGCTTTGTACTATTCCCATTATTCCCAGTCAACAAGGATGCAAGCAATGGGTGATGATAAGCATTGCAGTCCAAAATATCTGAGGGGCTCTTAGGAAAAGGCTGGGACTAACTACCTTGTGAGCTGCAGATGTTTGAAATAAAAATGAAATATCTCATAACCCTTAGAAATTAATCAATACTGAATTTCATCTTGTCTCATTATATAAAATATAGCATGCTTACACTGCATTATTCTTATCTTTTTGAAGTTGCTTATCTGCTCTGTTGCAAATAAATCCAGCTTTTATAAATATATCAAAGCTTCTACTTATGCCAACACATTCAATATAAATTCCAGTCCCAGAGAAGGTAAAGGTTCCCCTTGACATTTAGTCCAGTCATGTCCGACTCTAGGGTGCGGTGCTCATCCCTGTTTCCAAGCCACAGAGCCAGCTTTTGTCCAAAGACAATTTCCATGGTCATGTGGCCAGCGTGACTAGACATTAGCCGTTACCTTCCCACTAGCCGTTACCTTCCCACTGAGGTGGTACCTATTTATCTACTTGCATTTTTACATGCTTTAGAACTGCTAGGTTGGCAGGAGAAAGGAGATACCAAGTAATTCAGTAACTATGGGGCCATTGCTTTAACCTCCCATGCAAGCAAAGTGATGCTCAAGATGTTCCAACAGAGGCGTTTAACTGTATATGGAGTGAAAAATGCTAGATTTTCAAGTTGAATTCTGAAAAGGAAGAGGCACTTGAGATCATATTGCAAATATCTACTGGCTACTAGAGCACATCAAAGAAGCACACCAAAGAATTTCAGAAGTAAGTCAGACTGTGCTTTAAACACTACAACAAAGCATTTGACTCGATCACGAGAAGCGATGTTCTGAAAATAATGTATGTGACTCAGCACTTGATTGTCCTGATGCACAACCTGTATTGTGGACAAGAAGCTACTATTAGGACAGAATATGGAAAGATGTAACAGTTTTCCATAGGCAAAGGTGTCAGACTGGGGTACATTTCATCTCCCTATTTACTCAGCATGTACCGAGAACATATCATACAGAAAGTTGGACTAGAATCAGATGGAGGAGCAGTGAAAACTGATGGAAGAAACTTCAGGAATTTAACATATGCAGATGACACCATCTTACTGGCAGAAAGCAGCAATAACTTGAAATGACTGTTAGGGAAAATGAAGGAAGAAAGTGCCAAAGCAGCACTGCAAGTGAATGTTACGAAGACAAAATTCATGAAAACAGAACAAGGATACAACTTCAACACTGACAATGAGGACACTGAAATTGTTAAAGATTTTGTATATCTTAGTTCAATAATCAGTCCAAAGGAATACTGCAACTAAGAAATCAGAAGAAAGCTGAGACTCGGAAAGCTAGCAATGAAGGAATTAGAAAAGATGATGAAGTATAAGGAGGAGTCACCGAAGACCAAGGCCAACATCTTCCACACCATTTTATTTTTATTTACTTTGTACAATAGTGTGGATGATGTTGGCCTTGGACAGTGAAGAAAGCTGACAGGAAAAAAAATTGATTTGCTTGAAACATGGTGCTGGAGGAGAGCTTTGTGGATATCCTGGACAGCCAGAAAGATGAACAAGCAGATCCTTGAGCAAATCAAGCCTGAACTGTCTCGGGAGGCAAAAATGATGAAATTGAGATGGTGGTACTTTGAACACATCATGAGAAGGTGGGATTCTCTGGAAAAGATAATAATGCTGGGAATGGCTGAATGTAGCTGGACAAGAAGACAATTAAATATGAGATACATTGATTCCCTAAAGGAAGCTGCACGATTGAGTCAAGAGTCAAGAGCTGTGGAGATTTTAGAGATCATTCATTCATACAGTTGTCATAAATTGGAGATAACTTGATGGCACATAACAATTTACAAGCAAGTTTACTTAAGGTAATAGTGAGACATGGGAACAAGCCAACAATTTATTTCATTAAGAAACTTCTCACTTTACCGGGTTCTTTCCACAAGACTGGATAATTTCCCATTTTTATACATAAAGGCAATATTCATTTTTTACTTTAAATTCTGTTTGGCAAGAAATCTCTTCTGAGTCAAGGGAGCCATTTAAGAACCTTTAATGCAGTCCTTGAGGAATTCATGAGCATGATGTAACATTTAAATATCCCTTAATGAATCCTCCAGGGACACAGCCCTGTAGTAGGACCAAGGGGCAGACTAACTGTGGTAATCTGAAGATTTAAAGAATAATCCAAAAAGGCAGGATGCCTGTTTCTAAAGAATACTCAAGATTTTTATAAGATCAAAGGTATCTAGTTGTTATAGCAACTAGACAACTTAGCAGCGAAAGATGTATTTTCAAATGTTCAAAATCGTCCTAGGCAAATTATGTGAAAAGTAAGAAAGTAGTGAGGCAAATCAATTAACTTAATAAGCTGAAATTTTTAACAAGGCAAGAAATAGTTTAAGTCCATTACACATGACACTGAATTTTTTAGACAGCTGGAATAAAATGTAGAGCTTCTAATTCATCTACAGTAAGTGGTTTGGATCCAGAAAGTGAGGAGGGATCTTTGTTCACAGGGGGGCAGAATCCAGTCTACTATAAGTGCCAGTCTCCTGCAGTGATAAGTTCTGCCTCCTGCAGGACCCCTGGATAAGTACAGATCTTTCAATGGTTTTTTTCCATTAAATCTAGAGCAATCTTGACAGGTTTCTTTTAAATCAGTTCGTTATGACTGACTACATTTGGTTCAGTACAGAAAAAAATGTATTTGGGACATCTCATAGGATGCTTTCACTAGGTAAGAAACATATCTGTACAGGACTGATTCATTCCAGCTTTTGAAAGGCATGTTCCTGTCCATTGTAGGTAGCAACAGACAGGTGAAATTTGTAGCAATAAGAAAGCCAGGTAGGAAAATGTCATTTTCTCATGCATACTTTATTTGTCCCTGAAGGTTGCTGTTTTCCTTCCTTGTTGCAAGTAGTGGGGAAAAAACAATAAGAATTCAGAGTTTGGAATGTTAGGTTTTAGATTTAGATTTTGATGGTGTTATGTGTTAGAAACTGGAAAATTAATTTGTTGCCATTCATGTTAGAAAACAAAAACTGACTGAATTAGTTCTGAAATAAAAGGTGGGAGACACTGTGTTCCTTCACTTTTGAGCTCCATGATACAGTTGTCATTGGCTCCTTCAGAAGTGCTCTTTGTACTGGTTTTTAAAATTGCCTTACTCCATGTGGCAGTCTTTTCTAGATGGATGACATATCTCATAATTAAATTGTTAGCTTGGGATGGTGTTTCCAGGGTGTAGACTATTAGATTGAGGAAGTGTGTATGTTCATGCAGAGTTTCCTCCTCAAAATCTGTAGCTTTTCCCCTCTGCTGCTGGGGCTTCTGTTTTTAAAAAAATAGATGTGTGATCACTTGAACTGATGCAGAAAAAATAGAGCACTAGGATTCATTCAGGGAATGGCATGCAAAGCCAATCAGCAAGATTTTTCTTTTTCTTCTTTTGCTTTTCAACAGCTAAGGGTGAGCAAATCTCTCTCTTTTTTCCACAGCTTATGGTAAAGCTAAACAGACGTGGAAGCCTTGTTTACAGCTTATTATGCAGTTCCCTTTAACTACACTACCTGCTGGATACAGCCGCAAAAAACTTGCAAATACTGTAAAGCTTCCTTTCTCTGTCTGTGGAAAGACCTGGGGAAACCTGAAACACATTTCACTCACTATGTTGCCATCCCTCATTCATAATTAGAGTAGGCCCATTTGAATGAATGGAATTTACAGAAGAGTTGCTTCACCAAATCCCAGTTGATTCAATGGGCCTACTCTAGTTTGATGTCCTGTGCTAAGCAAAGGGATAATTTCCAAGATTTGTAGAAAAGTTATAAATTACATCAGAAACCTAAACCTTACAAGGTTACAATGACAGATAGGGCATATTTATCATGCTATTCTTACTTAAACCACTGGATTAGTATAACTAATGAAATAATTCTAAATACCTTTGCAGATAGCTTACCTGAAAACTGCAAGGCTCAAAGACCAGAGCACTAGTGGTTTCCTCAGTTCAAATTTTGCTCGTTTGTTCATTACATGCCGACCACCAAATATAAAGGCAGCATACAGAGCAGAAAATAGAAAAGATTTTTTCCTGTATAAGAAAAAACAGAACAAATAGTCATCCAAATATAGCCATTCAGCTTTTCAACTGCATCCAACAAGTACACCAGTACATACACTCAATATATATGTTTGCAAATATTTTTATTTTGGAATGACTGTGTTCACTCATTCAATACATTTTTGTTCATGAATGCTGTCTCAGATATTGTGCAGTTTTGAATTTCTGGTAAAATTCCCCTTCATTACATAATAGAAGTACAGAGACTCACAGAGGAGAATACTTATAATTCCAACAGATAGTCTACTCTTTTCTCATTAAATAGCACTTAAAGTCTCAATAACTCACTCTGAGAGATTTGTAAAAAAAATAATAAAAGTGTTTCATTTACCTAACTCACTCTGAGACATTTGTAGAAAAAATAATAAAAGTGTTTCATTTACTTACAATTGCAAACAGATCAACAGCAAACAAAGAACAGATGAAACAAAAGGAAAAAGTACAGAGCAGAGAGGCAGGACTCTTTTTGAATTTTAAGGTGGGAAGAAACTTCAGCATAGTAAGCCACAAGTAGAGTAGGTCCATTTGAATCAATGGAACTCACAGAGAAGATAACTCAACACATTCCCCAATACGCCTACTCCAGTGTGATTTAATATGCTAACCAACAGAACTCTAGTCCATGTGTCATCCACATCTGCTCTATGAAATTTATTTCATTAAAACTTGCAGATTTTCACAATACGCAGTTCAAAGCCTGGTGAAATTTACTCTCCCATGCACAGGTAGCGCATTGCATAGCCACCAGTTGCAAAGTGTTCCTAATTTGCTTCTAGTTTCTTAATTATCAATATTAGTTTTTTATGTTACTAATATTGACAATGATAAGCAAAAGTCTTTCATTAAAAAGAGCAAACTGTTATAAATGCTTCAGCTTATAAAAGGGTTGAGCATAGAAATGAGCAACCATATTACCCCGATTCTCTTTGAAATTACAGTAATTGTCAGAACTGCTCCAAAATGGACAATTCTCTATCCAGCTCTCAATGAGTATCTTTCTGGAGAATACTGTAAACCAATTGGTAGTAACTGTGATTGTGGTGAACAATCACAACTCCACCCTGAGGCATTACAATTCCAGACACCACTGAAAATATTACAACTAGACATATTACCCCGATTCTCTTTGAAATTACAGTAATTGTCAGAACTGCTCCAAAATGGACAATTCTCTATCCAGCTCTCAATGAGTATCTTTCTGGAGAATACTGTAAACCAATTGGTAGTAACTGTGATTGTGGTGAACAATCACAACTCCACCCTGAGGCATTACAATTCCAGACACCACTGAAAATATTACAACTAGACCTAATTGCTAAACTAAAACAGTAGATGGCTGTTGTGGGTTTTTCGGGCTCTTTGGCCGTGTTCTGTGCTGTCCTCTGAAGACGCCGGCCACAGAGACTGGCGAAACGTTAGGAAGAACAACACCTTCAGAACATGGCCAAAGAGCCTGAAAAACCCACAACAACCATTAGATCCCAGCCGTGAAAGCCTTCGTGAATACATTAGAACAGTAGAACTTCACAGTTGGCCGAGAAACAGGCCACACAGCCAGTAAAATAAAAAAAAAAGGAGAAAAAAATATTGAAATCAATTTACACAGAACCATTTGGAGCAACCTTAAGGGAACACCACTGTGCATGCTCTCTCTATATATGTATATATGTGTACATGCATGTATCTCTCTATACACGTATAAACACACCCCTAGTTTGTTCTGACTCAAAGTCGGTCTGAACTAGAGGTATTTCTTGCACTTCACAGAGTTAAAGTACAAAGCTTCCAATTACAAAACAGCACATGGAAAGCAGAGCCAAGACTTCAGTCAACCTTAGTGTCTGCCCTCTAGGAAAATAGGCACATTGCCCGAATCCACATGCCCTAGTGCTGAGGCAGGCTATTTTCTGCACTAGAGTCTTTAAAAAGGAGGCATATCTGAGACTTAAATGATGGGGTGGCTGTGACCTATCTAAAGGTAGACTACCACTTCTTGGGGTTTCTTATAAGTACCAATTCAACTTTTATTATTATTATTATTCCTCGCTATGCAGGCAGCAAAAATGATCTTCGCTGGACGGTGAGTTTTTACCCCATTGAAATGCATTGAACGGGTTTCAATGAGTTTCAATGGTTTTTTTTTAATTTCGCTTTAAGATGTTTTCGCTTAAAGGCAGTTTTCCTGGAATGGATTATTGTCGTTAAGCAAGGCACCATTGTATAGTATTCCAGTATTAGAAAAGAAGGCCATAGGAATGTTGAAAAAACAACAACACCAATTTGCTGTGATACTCATTCTATTGCACATAATTCTTACATTACTTTCCACTGCTTTTGTGGTAATGGGGTAGGATTGATAAGAAAATGACATGCAACTGGAAAAAGTCCTGTCAAGAAGCTTTTGAAAACAGCCTAAGGAATTTTTTTTTAAATAATGTTAAAAATATTACTCATTATACCATTACAGTAACTTTGTTCCTGCTCCTTCCATTAATTTCGAAAGAGAACTTTGTTACATCGTTACTACTCTAAATACATACAGTGCCTCATTATTGGTAATTATGATTTGGCTAGGCATGGCTAAATAGTGCTGTTTAAGAAGTACAATCCTTGAATCCACATGCAAGGATCAGGTGTTTTCAGGTAAAGAAACTACACTGCACCTCGGGCGACCCTGTTTAGCACAATCAAAATTTTCTTTCCCTTTAAAAGGAAAGATTTCTCAAGATCATTGAGCAGCTGGCTGGCTGTTTCTTTGCAGAAGCCTCTTAATAATCTTGCCTCTTAAGAAATCAAGAATATCTTGAGAAATTGAAAACTTCTTGATTCTCATTCGGAGGATAAAGGAGACAAAGTTTTCCATTTCTTATTAATGGTTGCTAACTGATACAGCACATCAGCGATGCTTTGAGATGACATTTATAAAAAAACCTTTCAAAGCACCACTGATATGTTAATAATTTAAAAAATTGGAAATCTTCCTCTCTCCCATCCTTCAAAGCAGAGAGAAGCAGAAGTTTTCCATTTCTCAAGACCATTAAGAGGCAAAGTGTTAAAATTGTTAAGAAGCTTCTCCAGAGGGACGGCCAGCTTCTTTGGTTTGAGTCTAAATCACACAAGCTGGATCCTACCCACACCTAAAAAACAGCTGCCTGTGACAAGAAGCCAGAAAGGTGCAAATTGGAACACCCTGGGGAAGGGCAGGTTCACACTGACACATTGTCTTATTACCAGGAAAAGAAGCAATCAAGCTCATTCCTTCAGTGGACCAAACTATAAGACAAGTGCCCATGTAGTCAGGTCCCCAGGCACTTGCTATCTGGGCAAACATTCATTCATTCATTCATTCATTCATTCATTCATTCATTCATTCATTCATTCATTCATTCATACTGCCCATCTAGACTGAAGTCTACTCTGGGTGGCTAACAATAATAGATAAAATAAAGACAATATAATAAAATAAAAAAACAATAGTAATATAGTTCAAGATGGGAAAAATATTGAAGTGATGACAGGAGGGGAAGTCTGCCTAAAGAGCCAGGTCTTAAGTTTGCTCTTAACAAACCCTAGGAGGGAGCCAGACAGATCTCTGAGGGCAGACTGTTCCAAAGGCGAGGGGCCACTGCCAAGAAGGCCCAGTTTATTGTTCTTTCTCTGGGCCTTCCTCGGCATTAGGCCCCTCTGCCGCCCCTCCTGGCTAGAAGGAGTGATTCGGGTAGATCTAGGTGGGAGGAGGTGTTCCACTAGATATCGAGGTTGTAAACCGTTTAGGGCTTTATATGTCATCATTAACACTTTGAAATAAATGCAGAAACAAACGGGCAGCCAATGCAAGGCAGCCAGAGTAGGGGAATTATGCTGATATTTTCTCACCCCAGTGAGAAGTCTGGCCGCCACATTCTGTACCATTTGAAGCTTCCACATCAATCTCAAAGGTAGACCCACATAGAGTGTGCCACAGTAGTCTAATCTGGAGACTACAAGTGCATGGACCAGAGTGGTGAGTGCCCTAACATCAAGATAAGGATGCAGCTGGGCAATCCACCAGAGATGGAAATAGGCGGAGCAGACCACTGATGCCAACTGGGTTTCCATGGTGAGCGCCGGATCCAGATGGACCCCCAAGCTGCGAACCTCACTCTTTGCAGTGAGAGTCAGCCCCCAAAAAGAGAGGGGCCACCCACCCTCAGGACCTCTGTCTTGTCCGGGTTCAGCCTCAGTCCATTATCCTACATCTATTGCAGTACCGCCTCCAGGCAGCGCTGAAGGGATGGAATGCGATCCACTGTGACTGGAGAAAAGGAGATGTAGAGCTGGGTGTCACCAGTGTTCTGATGATACGAAGCCCCACACCCCATGATGACCCCACCCAGCAGCACTCTCTGAGGACAGTCCTAAGAATTGGAGCCAAGCAAGCACCAGACCACCGATTCCCAGTTTGGACAGCCTCCCCAGGATGATACCGTAGTCGATGGTATCGAAGGTGGCTGAGATATCAAGGAGGATCAACAAGGACATTTTGCCCCAGTCGGCCTCCCTCAGCAGGTAATCAAACAGGGCTACCAATGCCATGTTCATATTGTGGCGTGGCCTGAAGCCCGACTGTAATGGATCCAGGACATTGGTTTCATCCAAAAGATCCACCCTCTCTGCCTATTTGCCAAGGAAAAAAACATTGGGGATGGGCCTATAATTGCCAGTGTTGTCTGCCACCAAACTTGGTTTCTTCCTTATGGGCCTAATGAGTCTCTCCTTAATGGCAAGGGGACCCTTGCCCTCCTGGAGAGACCCATTAATTATTGCAGTGGCACATTTGGTTGTTATAGGCCTGGCTGCTTTGATTATCCAGGCCAGGCAAGGGTCAAGGGAGAAGGTGGTGGCACGACCATGGTCAAGCGCTTTGTCCACCATATCTCATGGAGTCCTGGAATCCCTCTCATGGAGTTCTGGAATCCTATAGGATCCAG